GCCAACTTTATTTCTACCTCAACAACTTATTACTCACTATTCTTCCTGCCTGTAAGTCTTCATCAAAACACCTGATCTGTCCTTTCTTCACTTTTGTGTGTTCCTGTTCCATAAAACACAACTCAGATCTTGTTGTTCTTCTGTTTAAAATTTTTCAATAGGACACTCACTACTAATAGGACGAATTGCAAGCTCCTTCCTGAGTAGCAGCAAGCACCTTTGAGATGATTTACCTGATGATACTAAGTTAACCTTTCCCCCTCCCAACCTACCCTCATTATTCTCTGGCCTCTTGCCCATTTTAGTTCATGGTATTTATCACCGCCTGGGACTATTTTCTTTTCTCTTTCTCCTACTCCAATTTGTACTCCATAAAGTTAGTTTGGAGTCTGTTAACTGCTTTCTTTAAAAGTGCCTAATTAAATACTTAAGGCATAATTGTCTTCAATGAATATTTGTCAAATGCAGGAATGAATTATTACACATTGTAAAGATTACTATGAGACAAAACAGAGAGAGTTAGAAGAGGGGTTCTTTAGAGTATTTACTGAAAGGAATCTCTTGGATGAAATGATGTTTAAAGTAAAGTAATGATTCCAGCAAGTAATAAAGACTCTTCCAAACAGAGATGATAGCAAACACAGCTGCCCTAAGGTGAGCATGATCTTGAGAAGCTTGAGAGAATTTAATGGGTTTGTCATCCTGGAACATAGGACACCAGGATGTAGTAGAGTGTGTTTCAGAGGAAAGTATAAAAAAGATCATTTAACATCTTCCAGATCAGTTTAAGATTATGAATATTATGCTAACTACTAGCAAAGCCTATTGAAAGGTTCTGAATGGAAACTAATGAGGAAGTTCATTGCTTTAGAGATTTAGAGAGATGGCAGAAATAGCATCTGGGAGCTGCACTGGTGGTCTTGAACCTCCTGGTTTTCCTTTGCCTCCTGTGTACTTGTAACCTTGAAATTATTAGCGAAGTTTTATATTGTGTGAACATGTGAATCCAATTACTG